ACATTCTGAAAGTAGGCCCACTTTTAGGAGCATACGGAGGGTACTCAGTGTCGCAGAATGCCTTCTGCTCATTTAAGAAGGAATTACGCCCTTTTTGGCCCCTTCCTTCTGCTCTCCCTTTGTTGCAGCAATGGGTCCGATCGTCATCTTTGGTGTATATATCATGCCCCGTAAACCTATATCTTGCACTTGTCCTATAGTCCTATCTTTCTCTCCTCAATAAACTTCATTTTCATCATGCTTGCCTTAGAAAAAAGAAAAGAAAGAAAGAATTATGAGGTATATCCAGGCAATTCATTCAAATAGGGGGATAGGAATTCAAATAAGGCGTAGTTGGTTCCTGTCTTCTTTGCTCACCACCTCACAGAGCAGGCGGATAAGCTACAGCCTGGCAAGGGCTGCTCTGAGGGGCACCGTGGGCAGATCCTCTATCAAAGAAAAGAAGCAAAGTCACCGGGACCATCTGGAAAAGCCCTAATGCAAGTGCTTAACCATTTCGGGACCAGGGTCGACTATAGTCGACAGCCACAGATGAACGCACACAGCCCGGCGTCGACTTTAGCCGACAGCCGTGATATGACTTTTCTAATTTTTCATTTCTCAAAATAAAATTGCAAATGTTTAAAAAATAACGTAACGAAAACACATATGTACATGTTACCTATTCTGATATTTACACTACAAGTAAAGCTGCCTGTAAAGTCAAACAAGCTTTCAGTGCTTTCGAGCTTTCCTCATCACACAAGAGCAAAACGGATTCGCCGTCAACAACGCGCAGCATGAACTATCGAACTATCGTGGGGACTGTGAGTGCCGGCTGTGGGCGAGGGTTCGTGGCGGGTGAGCGCCGTGCGAAGTGGCTAAGAAGGACTTTGTTAGTGTCTGCAGATGGGCTGTCTGGGGAGAGCCCTCTGGAGCGTGGGGAGAGGCGGCTGTGCGTGGTGCTCAGGATGAAGAGCCAGGTTGGGGCAAAGACAAGCTATCCACAGGGGGACACCACAAGTGACAGGGTAAGGAGGCCGGAAAACCTCAGCCCTGGTCACAGAATTTGTGCAATAGTTCCCAACGGGTGGCCTGAAGGTCCTACCAGGTCTCAGGAGAGATACGGTTCATTTTTAAGTTAATCGTAAGTTAATTTCCTACTTTAGTGACTTGACATAAGAGTACAGATTTCTGATCGTGAATAAACGCAAGCTCTGCCGACGCCCCCTTTGCTTTCCCGTGGGCTAGGGATCCGGGTGAGCTGCACACTGGCGGCCCCCAGGGCTGCAACATCAAGGGAGCTGGTTCTCTGCAGTCCCTGCCACTCCCCGGTCACACCCTGTCTACTGTCTTACCTGTCCCCCCTCACCCCCTGAAAATTCCTATCCCTGGTTGTTTATAATAAAACACGAATCTAGGTACTGCTGTGAAGGGATTCAAGTTCCAAGTCAGTTGGCCTTAAGATCCAGAGATCACCCGAGTGGGCCTGATCTAATTGCAGGAGCATGAGGACTTGATGTACCCTTGCTGCTTTGAGGATGGAGGGGCACAGGTGGGAGGGGATGCAGGTGGCCTCTAGGAGCAGAGATCAGACATTCGTTTACCCCACTTTACCTACCCTACTCGATCTCTCCTACTCTCAGTCCCACAACTGCAAGGAACTGGTTTCTGCCAAAGCTGAATTACCTTGGAAGTGGTTGCTTTCCCAGCGCCTTCAGGTAAGAGCCCAGCCAGCCTGCACATTTATTTTGGTCTCGTGGTAGACAACCTTGAGCAGAGCCCAGCCAACCCACCGGCACTCTAGGCCTACAGAGCTGTGAGATAATAAATGGGTGTTGTTTTAAGCTACTAAATTAGTGGTGATTTGTTGTGTGGCGATACAAAATGAATACACAAATGCTGGGGAATCAGACAAACGGGACTTTGCATCCAGGACCTGCCACTTGCTATCTATGTGATCTAAGGAAAGTTCCTTACACTTCTTTCCTCATCAGTAAAAATGGATATGTAAGTATAACCCACCCATAAACTTATTGTAAAGATTAACTGGGATAACACATTGTAGAACACTTTGCCTAGCATGTAGTTAAGTGCTCAGTAAATAAATGAACTCCTAATAAACGTTTCAATTTTCTGAGTATCTTCAGCAAAAGCAGAATTTTTGAAAAACACTTCAGTAGCAAGTCATTTAAGTGGAGCAAATATCAAACTGCTTTTTATGTTGTCATAGAGACCAGACCTGTTGATTGAAATACCTTGTTCCTATTTGCCCATTATGGAATTGTATCTGCCCCAGAGACCCTAAGGTTCTGCACTATATCGTAGAAGGAAAAATCCATACTTCAAAGAGGGCAGCAAACTTGAGTTCTCAGTTGCTGGTCTTGTAAGGAGTCAAGGCATCTTGGGAATATCCTTCCTACTTTCTGGGTCTTGTTTTTCTCACCTGTACAATGAATGCAGCTTCTCGAAGGTTCTCAGGAGCCTCCTCACTCTCCTTTGAAAAGTTCTGGGAGAAAGAGAGGAAAAGGGGCTGCAGGCATTAGTGAAGCAACTGTGTCTTTGCAGAGGAGGAGGGTCCAGGGCAGACAGGTGGGGACAGTTTCTTCCATTGTCATTAGTAGTAGTTCCCTCTGTGTTTGCTCTTACTTTGTAAGGGTTATGGGAGCCAAAAAGGGCCTGGGAGGATGACTGACTAATCCGTCTATCAAAAAGACTACTCTCCCAGGATCTGCCAAGCATTCATTAAGTTATCTTCTCATTCATCTGCGCATGGTAAAAAACTACTTCCAGAATTAGAAGAGAATGAAGGCAAGATTATTATTAATATCCACATCCTGTTACTTGGTACATTTCTCCGTACCTTATGAAATCCATCTTTGCAATAATCAGTCCTCAGCAACCCTCACCTGGTGTTATTTCAGCTGAAGCACAGTGATGAAGAATGCCAACTCCAGCACTGGGGAAAAGCTCTGTGGATGAGAACACTGGCATTTGGGACCATTTATGCTGCTTTTCAATTCTGAGTGATTGCTGGTTTTCATGTTTATTTAGCAAAGTTCCTTGGAGACCTTTCTGAAAGGGCACATGTTCCTTGGGTAGAGAAGACAGGTCGCTCTGCTGTCTGGAAGAAAAAGAGGGGTAAAGGAAGAGTCATCGGAGACCTGAACTTTCTGCTGCCTGTGTCCTGCCTGCTGGAAGTTTATTAATGAAGAACTCACAGAGAAGATAGGAAATAGGTTTTGTTTTCAAAATAACTAATGGCTGTGTGCCCTTGGGTAAGTTACTTGACCTCTCTGGGCCTCCTGTGTGAAGTGGGCATGAAGGGAAAAAAAGCATTTCTTTTTAAAATTTGCTCCACATGATTAGAGTGTAAGGGAATTTACCTATATTATTTTTCTAAGTTTAAATGAATCCCATTGTCAGAGCTGACAAGAAATCTGTTGTCAGTTATTATTGGCATGGGAGAGAGGCATAGGTGTTGGGCAGCAATCTTGTGGCACCCATGCCATCTGGAAAATATGGGGAATGACCTCTGTTCTTGAGCCCATCATGGGGGCCACTGAGGTGTTCATGGTCCACATGGACTGTTTCAAGGTGAACAGCTTCTCAATTCATGGCGGCATCCACACCTCTGTGCCCATCCTGGCTCCTGGTACCTTTGACATGGCTCTCAACACCACAGAGCATGGGGCAGGACCCTGGCAGCCATGCTGTAACCCCACCTTGCCTCTGCTCCTCAAGGTTGATTTCAGATTTCTGTCACTCATAAAACCTGTCATTCTGCCACCCCCATCTCATCTATCTATCTATCTATCTATCTATCTATCTATCTATCTATCTATCTATCTATCTATCTACCTACCTATCTATCTATCATCTATTTATTTGGAGACAGGGTCTCACTCTGTTACCCAGGCTGTAGTGCAGTGGTGTGATCATAGCTCACTGCAGCCTCAAACTTCTAGAATCAAACAATCCTCTCAGCTCAGTCTCCTGTGTAGCTAGGACTACAGGTGCATGCCACCAGGCTTGGCTAATCTTAAAAATTTTTTTTGTAGAGATTGGGATCTCACTATGTTGCCCAAACTGGTCTCAGACTCCTGGCCTCAAGCAATCCTCCTGCCTCGGCCTCCCAAAGTGCTGGAATTACAGGTGTGAGCCACCATGCCTGGCCTCCCTATCACCTTTAGATCTCAGAGAATCCCACCTCTCCCCTCTGGTGAGACTACTTCTTATTCCTCCATAGCTTGGAGATGTCTGAGACTCATATTTCTGTGAGCCTAGGCTAGGGACCAGTATGGCCTTGAACATGATGACAAATGTCAACAATCACCCCACCTTCTAGAATGCAAGATGAACTGGCAAGACTATGGTGAACCGATGAACACATGCTCACCTGCAGGAGGAAGTAGCTACTCACCTCAACATGACCAGTGTAGCATGGAAAGAAAGGTCCAGAACTGTATGCCTTCCAATGTTTCAGGAAAAGCAGAAATCCAGATTTTTTAGGGGAAATCTGCTAACTTTAAAATATTGGTATAATTATTTTTTTTCCTTTTATTTTATCATATTACGGTGGTACAAATATTGTTAGGGTTACATATATTGCCCCTGCCACCACTTCCCTCTGCTGTGCCAGAACATCAAGCAAAAAAAAAAAAAAAGTTGGTATAATTAAAAAATAATAACATCATGCAGGCCAAACAGACCACATCTGAAGACAGCCAGTTTGTGCTTGTATTAGTTGGCTAAGGCTGTGACGAGTAACAGAGACTAGGTGTCTTACACAACAGAAACATATTGGCTCACAATTTTGGAGGCTAGAAGCTTGAAATCAAAGTGTTGGTGAGGTTGGTTCCTTCTGTGAACTGGGAGGAAGGGGTTTGTTTCAGGCCTCTCTCCTTGGCTTGCCGATGGCCATTGTCCTGTCCACAGGGCATCCTCCCTGGATCTTCCCACCATCTCCCCTCTGTGCGTGTCTGTGTCCAAATGTCCCCTTTGTATAAGGACGCCAGTCATCGGCAGTCATATTGGATTAGAATCCACACTGATGATTTCAGCTTAATTTTACTAATTATATCTGCAATGACTCTGTTTCCAAATAAGGTTACATTCTCGGGTATCGGAGCTTAGGAGAACCTGATTTTTAGGGGCACACAATTCAACTCATAACAGTGGTCTCAACCCAGATTTTTTAAAACAACTGACTTCTCCTCTTTATCAACAGAAGGCCCAATCTCCAATACACAAAGGATGGGGTACTGGGGTGGGAGAGTGGCAAAGACAGCAAAAGGAAGGTGAATATCCCTCATCCTTCTGAGATGAGAAGACACAGTCCACCCCTTAACCAGGTCATCTGCTCAGGATAGCTTCTATTACACAACAGAATCTTAATAAATACTTGTTGAAGTAGGATGAGTTGGAGTAGACAGAATAAAACAGAAAAAAAGTAGGGGGGGGGATAGATTAGAGGTGATTTAAAGATGCCCCTTGTAAGAGCTGCAGGGAGCTACATCCTTTAAAGTAAAATAAGAACTCAGCCAGTTTGTGGTCAGGAGTTTCTCTGGCTTAAAGGTAAAAATATATCAGGTTCTAACCTGGATGGAATTGGGGGCTAAGAATGTTGACAGCCTTAATTTATCAACATTGGCCAAAAAAAAAAAAAAATGAACCATATACTTCATCATGAATTTTTATTGCTATAAACCTGCATGTTCCTTTTATTTTCATTAAAATGTAGCCAGAGTAGGTAATATTTCCTTATCTGATGAAGAACACACAGACTTTGGAGAAAAACCTAGAGTCACATCTGTCCTTTCCCCTTATTTGCTGTGTGTCCTTGGCCAGGATAACAAGCTTCTCTGAGTCTGTCTTCTCATACGTAAAGGATTAAGTGATGTAAATACTGTGTTCCTGTTGGGTGGGTTCTGATACCCATCACAGGACAGTGACAATACTTCCTTGTTGCTTAGAGTTAAGTCTCCCTTCAGTACTTTTGAGTTAATTTACTGATTTTGGTTTTTTTTTCCTTGAGCTTATGTTGTATTATGAAGCATGTTAGTCAGGCTCCACCCTAAATTGGCTTAAGCACAAAAGAAGAAAAAAGCAATTAATTTGCTGATATAACTGGGAAGCCAAGCATGGTTGCTCCCAGGAGCACCAATAATATCATCAGTTCTGTGTCTCTCTCTGCACCTTTTGGTGCAGTTAGCCTCTGTACGACTTTATTCTCAGAAGCCTCCCTATTTTTGGTGGCAAAAGGATTATCAATATCTCCATGCTTACAACAATCTCACAGATTTGACTTCAGAACAAGAGATAAAGTCTTTTTATTTTTCTTTAATGACTCTTAAATTACTTAAAAAAAAATTAAGTCTAGAATCCCTTGCCTTTCTCTGAACTGTGGCCAGGAGGCTGCAATATCATAACTGGCCAAGCCTGAGACACATTTCAGGAACAGGAAAGACTGGGCCAGCTCCTGACTCCTTAAATACATGCAATAAGCGAGGGCTGACTACCCCAGAAAAAGGAACACTTGGCAGGTGAGGATATAGCCAAGCGGTGTAGCAAAGGGCTCTGGCTTTCTTCAAATTTATTTATTAAATCTTCTAAAAATTTTTCAGCCAATAGTTATTTCAGCCTTATAAATAAATCTGACCATGAACATTGATATGTTGGCTAGACATACAAAGCAGATTGAAAAGAACACAAGCTCCTAAAAAGTGAGTGACGATGTTTTGCTTAGAACAGATGTTCATGTCTAAACACACACACACACACACACACACACACACACACACACACACACACACACACACACCTGCCTCTACCTAGGGCTTTTACTGTCTGTGGAATCACATCCAGACACTGCAATATGGCATTCATGGCTTTTCCTAAAATGTTAAAAAAAAAACTATGACCCAGTATGGGTTTGGGTTCAGAGATTGAATCCTGCTTTGCATTTTATATAATACTGGAACCTGGGATTTTTCTGAGCCTTGGTCAGAAATTAACAAATCAATGAATAAGATGAAGAGAATTCTGACATGTCTGGGTGTTTGGGGCACAAAGTTGTGGGTGTAGAGGGACTATGAGAACCCTGCTTGCATGGGAGCTAAAAAAAAACAAAAACAAAAACAAACCAAAACTACAATTGCATGTTCTGCTGGGCGAATACACAGCTGTGTATATTTGGGAGCAGTCTTCAGCGGGGCAGAAGGATTTTCTCAGGACACAGGTCCTGCTAGTAAGGAAAGGACCTGGCCCCACCAGTGGAGCCTTAGTTCTCTGCGTGGAGAGAGGAGACTGTCCTCCTGTTCCGCCTTCCCTGAGTGAATATATAAATCTTTCAGACAGCAGAATAGCTGTAAGTAAAATGTCTAAAACAGCAGGTGTTCCAGTGACATTGTTGGCACCTACGTGACAGAAAGCAAATCCAAGCAGAGAGCCATTCTCTGCTGCACAGCGTGTTCCAGGGCTTTTGTCCGGGAGCCCCACGGAGCGCAGGTGCCCCCGGGACGCACTGTCGTACCTAGAGGAGCAGCAGTGGTCACAGCTGAGCAGGGAACAGCAGCACCCGCAGAGCCCTGGGAGGGGCAGGGGAGTTCTGAGAGTGCAGCTTTGTCCTCCTTGGAGCAGTCGTGGCCACTAGAGGGGAACAATCCCCCCAAATGCCGCATCTCCCCTATGCAAAGCACAAGTCCACCCTAACTCCTCCAATGTAATTTTTCTTCCCTCAGCTCTTAAAGTGATCTCCAATTATTTGACCATTGTACAGAATATGATGGTGTTGGCAATCAAAAAGACACTTAAATTACAAGGATTTTCCCCTCAATCCTGAGGGGGAGTGAATTTTGGGGGTGTTAATATCTGCATAAATAACTGTTGTCTTTATACAAAACACACACACACAAAAGGATGAATGAATGTACATCACAGACTAACTGTCATTAACTACAGTTGTCTCTGGTTGGTGAGATTATGAATGTTTTTTCTATTCTTTTCATTCTTTTTCATGTTTTTCTTTTTTTTTTCTCTTTGGGAAGGTTTATCTGTATCTCCTAAATTTGCTGCAATTTGTTTAGCCTTTATATTTATATATATAAAAAAAAGACTCATTGAAGAGGAAAGAAACAAAAATCCCTCTATCCATTCTTAAGCTCCATCTTAGAATCTAACTCCTGGGTGGAACCTTTCCCCCCTACACGCCCCTGTCAAATAATGAGGAACTTTGCATCCCTGGGCTGGGGCAGTGCCCGACCTCTGCAGGCACTGATTTAGCCCTTGACAAATGTTGGCTGTCTGTTGAATGTACCCAGCCTGGGGCCTTAAATTAGTCACGTAATGGTTCCAACTCTTTTAATTCAATTAAATTTAATAACTTCTGGTTGAATGTTTAAATGCAATCCTGGGCTATGGCCCTTTGAATATACAAAGGTGCAGTTAATGGCCGCAGCAGGAGTGCCAGAAATAAATGAAAGTGCGAGCCCACCTTCCCCATTTAATACACCCTGGTGCTCCCAGTTCCTGTCCCACCCCTACTCCTAATCTACATGACCTCTAACCCCTCTCCACATCTGGGTGCCCATGCTTTGACACGTGGCTCATTCTGTCCCCCCTACAGTGGCGGGGAGCTTGCGCTCCATGGAATATGCAAAATCATCCATTAAAAGGAAGGAAGGAAATATGAGAACTTTAACTTACATTTACTTTCAACGTATAAAGGAAATGAAGCTTGACCCGTGTTTGATATTTGCTGACCCATCACCTGAACTGGCTATCTATCAGAGTAATTATGTGTCACTTGTGGTGTTCAAGGGATCCTGAGAAAAGAGGGAGATTTTAAACCAGGAGGAGGTCGACTGATGCCCTCAATGCACTGGCTTTCAGTTTTCACAATTTACTTTGGTTGATTTGAGATTATGTTATCTGGCTTTAACTAAACTGTCTCTTACAAAATGGAATACTGGCTTAGAAAGTTTCTGCTATTAAAAAAAAATCTCTGGATTAACAACATTATGAAAAATTTAAGCATAAATAAGAAATCGACATCTTAGAATTTCTACTCTTAATGTGAGCCACATCCAGGAATGACTGAATCCTATTGATAAAGTCACTATATATATATATATACATATTTCACTGACGTTAATGGTGAATTTTTCCTTAAGCATACTGCCACACAGGTTTTTGGGGTTTTGATTTTGTAGTATACAGTGTTTCTTTAAGTACTGAAACATGAGTATGTTGGGGGGGGTGTTGGTATAACTTTTTTATATTAAAATATCTAATATCTAAATTAATTCTGTCTTGAGATAGAAACTGCATTAAGATTTCAAAGCAAAAAAAAAATACAGTTGTTTTAAAAGTGTTCTTCAATATCTGCAAAACTCTAAAGAGGAGGATGAAAATAGTAATTGACAATGCAAAGTTTCTGTTGAAAGGATAATTCTTGTTCCAGTTCAAAGACTCTCTGAACAAGTGTAAAATGCATTGACAGTACTGAAACTGATAAGGTAACTTAATATCCATTGGATTCTCAATCTATATGTGATGGAACTAGACTAAGATGAACCAGAAATGATTTCTTTACAATAAAAAGTATAGTTTACCATCATTTGAGAAATTACAGTTCTGGGGGAAAAGGTTTACTATGTCCTTGAAATAATAAAACAACAGATTATTTGAAGAGGAAATAGTCACAAGGAAATATTTCAGGTTACCTTATAACTCTCTCCTCACCATTTCTCAACTAGAGTCATATGGCTTTTCCAGAAACTGGAACAAATCTGTGCTAAAAATTATAATATTTTAGGATTGCATTCTTAAAAACAAATATCTTCATCTTCACTGTTCATAATAAATTTGCATTATTTGTATTTAATATTTGGCTTATTTTTGAACAATGCTTTATTTTATCAGTACATTTATGTTTCAATAACATGTTTTTTTGCATAACTTTTTATAAAGTTGCTTTAATTTATTGCTTTGTAATACATTTATATACTTGTGTCTTTGAGATATGATGAATATTTGGCTTTGCTGGCTTTTTATATTATGAATTCTGAGCATATGAATTAAGAAAATAGCTAATTGAATATTCACATTTTTATGGTATACAAAATGATTTGTTTATATTTTGAGGTATTGGTTAATAAAAGTGTGAAACTACTGCAAGTAGGAAGAATTTTAAATACTGAGTATTTTAACTATTTCATCTTTTAAATATTTTACAGTGAAAGAAATGTATTATTATAGTAGTACATTTAGATAATTTTTAAATAAATGTGCTTATATTGGAGGTGGGTGCTGAGTTAAGTTTTTACTAACGAGTAGTACAATAAAAATATTTGGAGACTGTTCACTGTAAAACACTATAATATATATTGTGAGAGAGTTTTATTTTTAAAGGAAAGGTAGCATTCAACAAATGAGCGCCATCAAAGCTATTCAAAGATTTAAAAAAACTATTTTTAGAAGACCTCTGAAGTTCCTAGATTTATCACAGTTAGTTCACGCCATTCCATGTCCTGCTTAAGGTTGACCTGCCGACCCACTCATGCTAGACCAAGGCAAAGTCATGTGACCGCTTGCATTTCCCATGGCATCTTGTAGCACAGTCGCTCAGGTCTTTGCTGGAAGGGGAAAATGAGAAAATATCCCTTGGCTTTTGTTCAGATGTTTTAACTGCATGTGTCTGAATAGCCTTCCCTGAATATCTGGTCTGTGAGGTCATTTGGCTGAAGGTTTCTCTCTGTCACAGGGTGCTTGTAATAAAACCATCAGAGACAGCAGATAGAGCCAGTTCAAACACTCATTGCTCTGTGTTGCCTTAAACAAAGGAACAGGGAGAGCCTGTATTCCTAAAGAACAGAGGATTATTAAGATGTTCTCTGCTTTGGGAAATATCCGTTTGCAGACGGAAAGGAGCTGATTGTTGGCATCAGGTACAAACAGTTTAAAGCCTCAAGGGCCAAGAACTTACCATGCAGATGAAGTCCTACCCCACCTCTATCCACGTCACTGTTTGTAGCTTCGAAGGGACAGTGGGTTACCAAAGAGAAGGAGGGTGCATCAGCTACAAGGGCAGGCCTGGATTTTGTGTTACATTCCATCCTACTGGGCATGAGCACTTGGGCAGACATGGGAAGGCTTGATTTGTCAGTTCTAAAGTTATACTTTTATCTGTTGATTCAGAAATATTGCCTTCATCATTTCTATGGAGACTTTCCTCAAATAGATCTCACGCTTAGACTGCCTGTAAATTTGGATAATGATTGCTTGAGTGCTGACAGAGAAGTTGGCTCAGGGCCCCGCAGAGCCAACGGGACTGCGGGGAGGCTGCTTTTATCCTCAGCATGGATCAAATCTAGACATGAGAAGGAACATGCCTTCCAAGAATGCTTTTCTGAAACACTGCTGGGGAGAAATGCAATTGAAGGGAAATCTGACATGTGACTGGAATATGTTAGGTAACTTACTCAACTTCATAATCAAAAGCAGTTGCCATTTGATGGAAGTAGAAAACCAAGAAGGAAGTTGCTTTGTTCCACTACATGAATCCTTTGAAGTTACAGTCACCTATACCTGCAGATCAATTCTCCACAAATACCATTATGTTATTAGATATCTTAATTGTGATTTAATTTTTTTTTTGTTTTAAATTTAAGAGAGTTTTTAAGAATGGTTAAGGGGAAGCCAAAGCGATTAAGGGAAAAATGAACATGTAAGAAATTAAGTTAACTAAGCTATTTGGAAATATGCAGTGAATTTGATTCACAAATATTTTATAGTTCCAGTGGTAATGGTTTCTTAATGTTGTGGCTCATGAGATAAAATCTATACTAAATAATGTTGTGTAAACTGATCACAGGTGAGTTTCATTCCAATTTCTCAGGGACTATGATATATATAATTCTTGCCCTTATGTAACTTTCCACCTAGAAGATAAGATAAAAATGAACATAGGTAACTTATTTGAAAAGTATATTATATCTTATTTGCCAATGCATTTTTATTAGCCTGTATTCATCATGTCTTTTTATTATGTATTTTTGATGCTTTGAAATCTTGGGCCTTGCTAACCCTGGAGGGACTGTCCCTCCTAAGGCTAGCAGATTTCTAGAAATAGCAGAAAACTAACCCCTGTGTGCCTTTCCTATGCAAACCAACCAGTGTAGAGCCCATATCTCCAAATACTTTCTTTAGTGAGCTCTTACACTCCAGGCCACTGTTCTCGTGCCTTAATCATCTCAGGGTTGAGTACCATCCAACTAGGAACAACCCCTACATCCCAAAGCCCATAGAGTTGATTCACACTAGCCAATCCTAAACCTGCTTAGCCATGTGGACCATTCTGTCATATGGAAACCGCAAGAAAGGCTCTTGCCACAGTTTCCTCCTCTCCCTCTGCCTGTTGATGACCTGGTGCTTCTCCATGTGTCCCCACCCCCCACATGGCATGGTGTGCTCCCTCCTCTTGGGATGTGTGAGCATGACAGTCTTTTTAATGGCAGTCATCTCTTGATCTGTTGGCTGTATTATATAATAAAACCTATGTTTTTAAAACAGCAGTCTCAAACCTTTTTGGCACCAGGGACTGGTTCATGGAAGACAATTTTTCCACCCAGGGGTGGGGGTGGAGCTCAGGCAGCGATGTGGGGGATGGGGAGCAGCTGTAAATGCAGAGACAGCTTCTGCAGCGCCCTGGCCCATGGCTCACCTCCCCCTTCCTAAGTTTCACAGAAGACAATTTTTTTCACGGAAAAGGGGTGGGGGGACAACAGAGCTCTGCGGCTTGGTCCCTCACAGGCCACTGACCGGTACAGGTGCGTCCCGGGAGTTGGGGACTGCAGCTTTAAAACGCAGCCAGGTGGAGACAGCAACTCAAGATGGCGAACGAGAAAGACCGCCAGCCAGAGTGTCTCTGCAAGAAAGACAGATTTTAGAAGAAAGTGAAAAAAATATAAGCAGGCAGACAAACAGAGATGGGACGGGGGTCGGAAGGAAGGGTGCCTGAAACTACAGGAGACTCCACGGGGAGAAGTTGCGGAGGGGAACCGGAAGGAGAAAGGCCCCGGAGAGGCTTGGAGACCGGCGACAAGGGTAAGTGGAGCAGTTAACTTTCTCCTCCCTTGCGTCTGGGACTGCTGGTGGGCTCCTGAGCGGTTGGAGAGACCTGCCAACACCAGCCCAGAGACGGCTGCCGCCAGTGAGCCTCGTGTGGACAGGGCTCCAGGCTCCCAACTCCCTCAGGGCACCCCCTGGGCCGCAGACCTGAGCCAATGGGCAGGCGCCATGTTGCTTCATTCTCCCCTTCCTCTTCCCTACCTGCGGCTGCCCAGAGAGATAATGTAGCCACCCACCTGGAAGGCATTTGCAGGGAATGGACCTTTCCTTTTTAGGGCTTACAGCAGAGTGAGGGGTACTCAGCCTGGTAATATTAATGTTTAATATCAGTCTGGATATCACACCAAAAATAAAGCTGCAGGTATAAATCATTAAAATGCTGAATGACATTTAAAAAAAAAACATATAAAATGCATAGTTGGCTCACTAAAAAGTTAAAGAAAATGCAAATTGATGAAAAGCACAATTCCAAACAAGTAATCATGCCGATGCCAGCAATACCCCTGAGGGTATCCACTAATGTCCAGTGGCCTAGATCAGCAGTTTTAGTTGGCTTTGCCTAGGAGACAGAAAGCAAAACCTAGAGCCCGCACAAAGTGGGAAGTCACTCCCATAAAGTGAAGACTTCTCAAAAATGTTACCCTCAGTGGATGAACTAGGAAACACAGAAACCCACAAAACAAGATAATTTTGCCTGTGGACTGGGATCAGTGAATGGTACCTCTTGAGGATTCCTAGTCTTAATCCTTTCCTCAAATGAATTTGTGGCAGGAATCCCAAGAAAATGAAAAGACACATATCTAGACAAATCATAGTAAAACTACCTAACAGCAAAAATGTTTTTTAGTTAGTGTTTTCATGGCATAATATTTTCCACTTTTAAAAAGTTTAAACCAATCTGCATTCTTATATTTAAGATGTTTCTCTTTTTATCAGGAATATACTGTATACTTAGATTTATTAAATTTTGGTCTGAAGTATTTGCTTTTTAATTGAGTCGATTGGTATTTAATGAAACTACTGATACACTTGGGTTTATATCTACCATATTATTATTTGTTTTCTATTTGTCCCCAAAGCTTTTGTCCACTTTATTCTCCCTTCTTGCCTTCTTTTGGATTAATAAAGAATTTCTATTATTCCATTTTCCCTTCTGTTGAATTCATAGTGAAACATTTTTTATTCTTTAAATGATTTCCCTAAAGATTATAATATAGTTCCTTGACATTTTGGAGAATGTCTTAAATTAATGCTCTTGCCACATCCTGAACAGTTAAGGACATTACAACACATTAATTCTATTCAATAATTGCCCTCACATTTTATGTACAGTTTTATATTCTACTTATCAGAATATTTTAAATTCTTAGAATTATTATTAATATCTTTCTTATTATTTTAAACAGTCAATGATAATGTAGGTTTACTCACATGTTTATCCTTTTCAGTGCTTTTCATTCATTTCTGAATTCTTGTGTTTGACCCCTGGGTTTCTTCCTTCTGTTTAAACTTTCTTCCAGCATGGATCTATATATTAGTCATGACTCTCCAGAGAAACAGAACCAACAGGATGTGTGTGTGTGTGTGTGTGTGTGTGTGTGTATACAGAGAGATAAGAGAGAGAGAGAACAAGACTTATTTTAAGGAATTTGTTCACACAATAGTGAAGCCTTGCTAAGTCCTCTGAAGGGTAGTCTAGCAGGCTGTAGACCCAGGGTATAGCTGTAGTTCAAATCCCAAGGCAGTTTTCTGGCAGAATTCTTTTTTTGCTCAGGGGAGGTCTGTCTGTCTTTCATTAAGGCCTTCAACTTACTGGATAAGGTCCACTCACATTATATACGGTTATTTGCTTTACTTAAAGCCCACTAACTTAAATATTAATCTCATACAAAAAAAAAAAAAAACAACAAAAACTTAAAACAAAGCATCAATTTACCAGACTACAAGTTATACTACAAGGCTATAGTAACCAAAACAGCATGGTATACAAGAATAGTGACATAGATCAATGGAATAGAACTGAGTACCCAGATATAAAACCATCCTCATAATAGCCTTCTGATCTTTGACAAAGCACACAAAAACATATATACTAGGGGAAAGAATTCCTGTTCAATAAATGGTGCTGGGAAAATTGGATAGCCACTTGTAGAAAACTGAAAGAGGACCTCTCAACTCTCACAAAAATCACTCATGATGTGTATCAGACTTAAACCTAAGGGATGAATCACAAGAATTCTAGAAGAAAATGTTGGAAAAACTCTTATATACATTGGCCTAGGCAAAGAATTGATGAAGAAGACCCCATAGCAATCACAGCACCAACAGAAATAAATAAATAAATGGGACCTGATCAAATTAAAAAGTTTCTGCACAACCAAAGAAACTTTCACTAGAGTGAATAGACAGCCTACAGAATGGGAAAAAATAGTCACCTGCTATGCATCTGATAAAGAGCTGCTAACTAGAAGTCTGTATAGAACTCAGGAAAATCAGCAAGGAAAAATCAAACCCTATTAAAAATGGGGCAAAGAACATGAACAGAAACTTTTCAGAAGAGGATAGATTACTAGCCAAGAAACATGAAAAAATGCTCAACATCACTAATCATCAGGGAAATGCAAATCAAAACCACAATGAGATATCAATTAACTCTAGTGAGAATGGCTTTTATCAAAAAGTCCCAAAACAACAAATGTTGGCATGGATGCAAAGAGAAAAGAATACTCATATGCTACTGGTGGGACTGCAAATTAGTACAACCTCTATGGAAAGTAGTATGGAGATACCTCAAAGAACTAAAAGTAGACCTACCATTTGATCCAGCAATCCCACTACTGGGTATCTACCCAAAGGGAAAAAATACGTTTTATAAAAAGATATCTAGACTCAAATGTTTATAGCAGCAAAATTCACAATTGCAAAGATGTGGAAACAACCCAAGTGCCCATCAATACATGAGTGGATTAATAAAATGTTGCATGTGTATACCATGGAGTACTACTCAGACATGAAAAAAAAATGATGAACTATTTATTATATTATCCTGGACATAGCTGGAGCCCATTTTTCTAAGTGAAGTATCACAAGAATTGAAAAACAAACACCAGGTGTACTCACCATTAAATTTGTACTAATTGATCAACACTAATGTGTACATATGGGAAGTAACATTCACAGGGTGTTGGGTGGTGGGGGGAGGGGATGGGTAAGTCCACACCTAATGGATGCAGTGCACACCTTCTGGGGGATGGGCATGCTTGTCAGGCGATGCAAAGGCAATTGATGTAACCAAAGCATTTGTACCCCCATGATACTCTGAAAGAAAATAAATAAATAAATAAAAATTTAAAAAACAACTTTCAAAGGAGCATGCAGAATAATATTTGACCAAATATCTGGGCACTGTGTCCAAGTAAAGTTGGTACATACAATTAACTAGCACAGTCTGCTATCAACGAACTCTTTGGGCCAGTGTTTCTTCATATATTGTTGTCCCCTTCCCCTTTATCTTCTTCTTTCTCTTCTGTTTCTTCTGCTCCAATCTTGTATATATTAAACAGTTTCATTGTGTCCTATATTTTCTTCATTGTCTTCAATCTGGATATCTTCTACTGGTCTCTCTTGCATTTCATGAATCTCTCTCTGCTCTGCCTAAACTCTTTAAACTCGTCTATTGAATTCTTCATTTCAGATATTATATTCTTCACTTCTAGAATTTCCATTTGATTCTTTTGTATTCTTTTCCAATAATTTGCTGAAATTCTCCATCTTGTCATTTGTTTTGGTACATACTAATACTAAAAAGATATTTCTGGTTAATCTGAAATCTTTATTTAACTGGGTATCCTGTATTTTATCCGGAATCTCGTCCTCCCTGTGCATGTGCTATTTAGGAACAAATGAATACTTCAGGAGGATATTGATTAGGCCATGTCTTCTGTATTTCTCCTTTCTCTGAGATCTTGACCCTTCAAATCCTTGTAGCCTTGCACCTCTGAACTCTAATTTTTATCTCATCATTTCAGAGAGCCTGCTACAAGCTCTAGGTGGCACTTGCTGTTGGACTCTATGCCCCTTGCCAACCATCAGAAGTCAAGTACCTCATCAGTACCTCAAGAAGAAAAATGCAGGTCTCACTCCTATGCATTCCTGCTTTTCGCCAGGATCTTGGCCCTCAAGTCCTGGCTGACTTGTTTATTCACCTTTGTCTTTTTTAAAAAAAAACTGTTATTTGTTTATTTGGCATTTTATGCAGCCTTTATAACTATTCTTCCATGAGAAGTTTAGTCTGATAGACATGCTGTCATGGCCAGAAGCAAAGTGGAGTAGTGAGTACTTATGTCTGCAATAGTGTTATTCATGCTGTTTTTTGGATGAGCATGGAAATTTTCTTTCAAATTCTCTTTGAAGCATCAAAGCATATCCCTTTACTGCCTGAAGCAGCTTTATGGCCACACAGAACAACCAAGAGATATGTGCCTGACAGATTCTACCTCAAGAGCTCTGTATGGTGTTCCCTTGTAGCCAGAGAGAGTTGCTAATCCAGAGAGAACGGCCACAGGCTCTGACTCTTCCTCTTCCTCACCTTGGCCCTCTTGCCATGGTGTTTGTTTCTGCTGTGAATTATTGAAATTGGTTAAGCACCACTCTGTACCTTAATATTTCTGGAACTACGAATGTCTTCCCCTTCTGAGCCTTGGCTTCCTCACCAGCAAGGTAGGGATGATAGTAGGACCTGCCTCCTGGGATTGCTGTAAAGATTAAACAAGATCATTTCCATAAAACACTTAACACAGTGCTTGGCATGTAATGTGTTCTGTAATTGGCAGTTATTGTCATTACCTTCCCAACTGGGGAAGATAAAAATAAGTTTTATAAACACACAACCCCCTGGGCATGATAAGAATAATCAGATTATCTATAAGTGCACTGATACAACTGAGATATCTGGAAATGTCTGCATATTGTTAGCAGGCACAAAAGTTTCATGCCATGTTTGGGAAAGGGAATTTTGAACTGAATCAAATTTACAAATTTATTTGTTTAGTCCACAGCAACTCTTTATTCCAAAAAAGATTTGAAATAATCAGAACAGAAATATGAATAATGCAGCAGGATAGAAAAATTAGATGTGGAAAATAAATTTAAAGGGGAAGATAAAGGTAGGGTAGTCACAGTATATGGTATATGACACAGGGCAAAATTTGGAATGAAGTCTTAAACATCTGACATCTGATGTGTTTCATCTGTGCTTGAACCCAGAGAATGGATGCCATATCTCAATCTGCAACAGAGAGGGAAGAGCACTAAATCTTTAAGTCTCTTCCCCAACTCATATGAGATTGCCAATAGTTTTTAAGACAAAGCCTTACAGAGTAATAATTACATGCTCCTTTAAAATATGGCCATAGGACGCTTTTGAGCATCAAAGAGCCTCAAAAGGACCTGCACAATTCCTTTGTCAGTCTATAGGTGTCCCCAGAGTGTTGGGTCCTGCCCAGAAGTGGGCATTTACTATGTTTTTGTGACTCCTCAGTGCTGCTTAAACATGCAGTCCTTTTTAAATTCTTGCCTTATGAATTTTGCCTTTCCAAAATAGAAAACTCACCTGGCTCACTCCACTAGCCAAATAGACCAATGCAAAGCTTAGACTCAGAAGCAGCAATAGTGAGGAAACAGATACTGTGCAAAACTCATTGTATATTCAAAATATACAAACAAGCAATGGCCAGACCATATATAAAAATAGAACTCTGACCCACATTTGCAGCAAGCAGCCCAAGAAGCCAAACAACAACCATTGTAGCCATCAGGCCAAATTGATCAGGATTTGGTCATTAACTGACAGCTTCCCTAATCCCCACCCCCATTTTCAACATAGGACCAACAGGAGAAAGCCAAATATACTCCCCTAACCAATCACATAGGGTGCCCTTTTTTTATTTAGCCCATCTACAAGCTTCCCCATGCCAACAGCTCAGAGCTGGAGGAGAATGATGAATTATTATTCATAGCTCTATAAAAACTGGAAGGTAAATATTGGCCTTCCAGATGCAAATATTAAATCTCCTCTAAAATTTGTATGAAATGGTTTTCCACTAAGAATATCAAATAGATGATTTTGTTTTGAAAGCATTTATTATCATGCAGATTAGATATTAAACATCCAAATATCTTATTTGCTAATTTGCCATTCATGAGAAAATTAGACATGCTAAAAAGTTCTCGTTTTCGGAGCAAAGACTCCTAAGTCGTCGACTCAAAAGATCTACCATTGTCAAAAACATATTTAAATACAAGGAGGTATTTCTCAAAATCTGCAATCTAGTTGAAGATTGTAATTCAGCCTGCAGTGCTGCTATTTTATGACATAACACCACGATCTCCTTCTTGTTTCTATTATATATATGTGTGTGTGTATACAGATACACACACACACACTCTTACACATATATAGAGACAATTGCAGTAAAACCAGTGATTAATTTGTAAAACAGACTCATTGAAAATGCAGTAGTCTAAAGAGGCATTTTAATGCCTCAGAGCAATAATAGCATTGTGTTTCCTTCTCCATCTTAATGGGTCTCAACTTCCTATGGCCTTTGTTGCTAGGAAACTAGTCTCTACTGAATTGAAAACCACCTTTCTGTTGTTGTAGTTGACTCTTTGGAGTCTGAAATGAACAAGGCATATCTTGAATCTTTTAAGATTAACTAGTGGTTACATGTCCTAGGACCTGCTATGAATGATGTGAGAAATACTGAACTCAACTTTTTCCGTGGATCCCTTGCTTGTAACCCAGGAGCAACTTAGTTCCCTTACAACTTCCGCTGGGAAAAACCCATTGCCTTATTCTGTGTGAAGTAAGTCCCCCCGAATTAGAAAGGTAAAAGTTGCTTAGCTGTGGTCCATTTCCCCTCATTTCCATATTGCTTTAAGGGACAGGCCACTTTAGGAACACGGACACATGTTCAGAGAGGTAGAGCTTCAAAGTAACAATGCATTCCTGGGCAAATTGCATTCTTCCATTATCGTCCTATTTGTATTTCTAGTCCAAACCCAGAATTTGTATGCATGCTGGTAGGCTTCCTTAGAGATACAGTGATGAAAGCTACTGAAATGCATTTGCAAGAGGACTGACTATGTTTTGGGAAGATGTCTTGGACAGTGGAAGAAGATAGGGAATGCATGTGATTTGCAGCCTTCTCCCCCCCCCCCCATAATCCAATTTGGAAATATAGATCCTCTTTAAACAGCATTTTGATTCTGATGCAATCTTGAGTGTACATTCAGAGGCAAAGGCCATGACTATAAAATGCAAATCATCTAACAGCAGGAGAAGTGGCTCAAGGCAGGTCATTAAAGCAGCCCTGAAATCCAGTCTGCCTAAAAAAACTGGACCATCAGCCAATGGTAGGATGTGGCTTAAGAAGCCCCTGGAAGAGCATAAAGACTAACTGGCTTGTGCGTGTATATGTGCGTGCATGTGTGTGTGCATGTTGTGTTTCTACTATGTTGCAAACACTTTCTCCCCATCCCTGAATCTCCTATTGTCTTAAGCAAAGTGTCTTGCATGTATATGAAATCCACCAGCAGTTACTAGATTTCCTCCAGTGGCTCCTCATAGGTGACTCCGGTTGTGTCTGTATTATGCCCCAGATCACACATCTCTGTTGCTGTTAAAGGAAATCAGTCACAGCGGTTAAAAGAAGAACCAAACATTACATAGACATAGGCAAAAAACTGATTATTGTTAGGTTTGTTCTGGATGGGAACCCAAAAAGTAAAACGTAGATAGCGATCATAAAGCCTGTAAAACAAAAGCCACAGAAGTCTGGAGAATTGGAGGGTATAAATCTAACTTTAACCACAGACAGCTGCAGGACCACAGACTGCTACAGCGAGGCCAGCATTCCTATCCCACCTAATAAGGACAAAGCTACCCCCTCCCCTATCTCTGCAGGTGTTACTCACTCTCCCCTTCTTGAAAAACCCTCTATAAAACCCAAGGCTTTTCTCTCCCTCGGGGTGCACACCTTTTTCGGCCTCCACCCATGTGCACCCAGATTGCTCAAAATAAACAGCATTTTGCTGCACACGAGGCTTCGTGTGTCTGTCTCTCGGCTCCGGACCTAACAATGATGAAGTAAGACATTTTAATGTGATTGCATCAGAGGCGCTTTAAATCACTGCTGTAATTGGAGAGTCTGGTCTTGTGACTTTTCTCAGTTGATACTGTTAAATTTAATTTGTCTGAACTTTTTCTTCTGACAGTTGGTATCAGAAGTGGGATTCAAAGTAGACCTTCCAGCAACCCCCTGGAAGCACGAAGTTACCAAGCAAAGTATCTGCCAGGCCGATGGTGTCCACTGCACTCTTGCCGCAACTGGGGATTGTGGGTAAGTTCTCTCTCCTATTCCAAAGCTCCATGGATTTGCGTTTTGAGCTACCTGAGTTTGTTTGAGCAAATACGTGATCCAAACTGAGTTTCGAAGTCATGACAGCAACTGGACTGGGTCCAGGGTTGCATTGGACACAATAATTAACTGGACTGGGCCCAGACATCCAGCCTGAGATACCTGACTGGGTCAGACAGAACTGGCAGGAAATGACAGTTACTGCAGGAGAGTGGGAACTCTGGCTTTCAGAAATTCACAAGGATTTCTGTGTTCTACCGCCTTTGGGTTTTTGTTTTTCTTACACACCTACATAGGGAAAAATAATTGGCTAAGTTGATCAAGAGGATCTGACAGCCAAAGCCAAGATTCAAAATAAAATTGAGATCCTTAATTTCTGCAGAACTGAGTGTTCCACCTCTGGCTGTGCCTACCTTTATGTGTACAGGTATTAGGCCCCTGAAGCAGCAAACACTGACAAAAATGGTGAGATCTTGCTAAAGATAATTTAAAACTGCAATGGAATGTTCCAAATGAACACCAATGCACTTTAAGAAGTGCATTTAAAGATGAGGCTCACCCAGGGAGGCTTATCGATGTGCTGAAACTTCTAAAAAGAATTCAGTATTTTTATTGCCTCTTTTAAAAGAATCCTTACAATAGGCAGGTGAAAAGCTTAAGCAACTAATTGATGAGAAAAATTGAATCTGCTAACCTTTTCACTTAGTTACTATTCCACCCTGAAGGCAAAAAGAAAGCTGGATAAAGTGTGTATAAAAGGTGGAACTTCAGGTAAAGGAGCCTTGCTTCTTTTGCAGAGGTGTCGGTTCTGAGTCCACACATAGAGGATGGTTTCTTTGCTCTGTTTTTTAATGGGCTCCACCCTGAACTCAGAAATTTTAGCTAAGAAATAGAAATCGAATTAAAAAGACTGGCTATTGAACTTAGTCCATCTTCAAAATACAACTTTCTGGCATTTAGCTGGCTATTTTAAAACCCTTTTGCAAAAGAAATTTACATTTATCAAGGTAATCTCCATTTGTAAGAGTGTCTGCCTCTCTGCATCAGGAAAAGAGGAAGCGCTGAGTCACTAGAAACTCTTAAAATGGAAAAGGCATTGGTTTTAGTTTATATAGCAAGACTTACCTTTGTTTAAGGTGCTTTTTCCTGGAGCCTGAAGTCTCAGCTCTGTGCTATTGAGCTGTTAATTTTCTACGTTGTTTTATCTCTAAGGCCATCTCTTCGGAAATGCAAATTTAAGGTAAAACTTTTTAGATAGTTATTAAAAATGGGATGAGTAAAGCAGTAATAGGGTTAAAGCAAAGACTACTAAATCTACCAAAGTTTGAATGGATGAATATATTGGGTATTATAGAGACTCGGTTACAGGGGATTACCAACAGTCTGCTTGGCTAAAACAGGTAGACTTCTCATCTGGCTCATTATTGATCTATTTGATTTTGGTTGGTTTGGTTTATGGGGACCCTGGTCAAGGGGCATACTCTAAACTCCTGGTATCATCTGCCTGATAGATATGAGACACATGTTGCACAACTTGGGTCGGTCTGGCACTAAACTTGAGCTTTGGGTGGCTGTGGATAGGGCGTGGTTTGGAATTGTTAGAGCCTTGTCATAAAGAAGATAGGTCTTGATGTGTTTCCTCCAACCAATGGCCATTTCTGGTACTTTCTGGACTCTGTACCAAGGTTGATAGCTAAGTGGTATAATCCAGATTTGCTATACTAGTTCATTGGTCCTAACTAGTGGTCCTTCCTCTTCTTTTTATTTTTTAAATTAATTATTTATTTTTGGCTGGTCAAGTGAAGCAGTGGGAGTGGAGAAGAAACAAAGGAATCTGTAACTGGTTGTGATCGGTTAGTCGTAAACACCACTGCAACTAATAGTCTTTCATTAAAGGAGTTGGCAGGCTTCTGTTGGGAGTGTTTGTGTTATCTGACATGGGGAAAGACAATAAATGTTTCAGGAAACTCTCTTAATAAATTTACTCCAAACCTACCCTTGCCTCAAATTTTAGAATATTTCTGCTCAGAATTTCTGTACCTTGAATGAGCAAGAGTATAGTCATTTTTTTTTGTTTTTTACTTCATTCTTTATACTTACGGCTTTAATTTTGCCTTCTTGAAGATACCTCTGTTATCATAATTTACTTGAAGGGTATTGATGCTTCTTTAACAAGACTCTATAATTAGGATGAGAACTAGTACTTGGAGATGCACAGTACTAAATGTCTAAAGAGCACTGGCTTTTAGTTAGACAGTTAGTCAGACTCAGGTCTGAGTTCTCCTTCCACCTCCTACCTTTGTGCCCTCAGGTAGTGTTCTGGCAGGTGTGTACAGCTCTTGGCCAAAGAAAACCCAAGCAGCACACACCCAAGCAGCACACGGAGAGTTGGAGGGTTTTCACCAGCGGGCTCAGAGAGGCATATCTGCCACCAAACTCTGAGCGCCCCTTTTTCGTTTTCTTTTAGTTTTATACGGTTTTGGGGGTTACAGTTAGCCAATGGCAAGTTTTCACAAAAGTCACCTCATTTGCATAGTAGTCAGCCAGTCAGAAGTATGTCCCAGAAGTTACTTCATTTACATGGTAGTCAACCAATCAGAAGAATGACCCTAAATCACCTCATCAGCTGTGAGTATTAGTAGCTGCTCAGTTTAGGAGCGGGGATAAGTGAAACAGGCGGGTTTTGGTGGAACGCCCTGACAGTAGTGTGGAGCCCTTTTTAAGCCTAATTTCTTCAACTTCAAATTGGAAGTGTTTCTCCTTCACTTTAAAGAAATGAATAGACTATTTTTTTTAGAGCACTTTTAGCTTCCCAGCAACATTGAATGGAAAGTACAGAGATTTCATATATACACTCCCATACGTGAATAGCTGCCCCCACCAACTGCTTTCCTTCACTTTTGAAGGGTAATTTTGCTGGGGACAGAATTCTAGTGGGTTTTTCCCAACACTTTATTTCCCTCGACTCTCCTCCTGCTTGCATGGTTTCTGATGAGAGATTTGCCATAATTCTTATCTTTGCTTCTCTATAGCTAAAGTGATTCTCCCTCTTCCTCCAGCTTCTTCCAGGATTTTCTATTTGTAGTTGATTTTCTGTAGTTTGAATATGATATGGTAGGTGATTTTTGGTTTATGGTTTGGTTTTGTTTGGTGTTTGTCCTGCTTGGTGTTTTCTGAGCTTCTTGGATCTGTGATTTGGTGTCTGTCATTAATTTTGAAAGTTCTCGGCCGTTCTTACTTTAAATATTTCTTGTGCCCCACTCTCTCTTCTCCTTGTAATCTAATTATGTGTATATGATACTCTTTGAAGTTGCCCCATAGTACTTGGACATTCTGGTCTTTTTATCCTCCCATTCTTTTCTTTCTTTCGTTTCTATTTGGGAACTTTCTTCCAATTTATCTTAAAGCTCATGGATTCTTTCCTTGGACATATCCAGTCTACAGATGAGCCCATCAAAGGCATCTTTCATTTCTGCTAGTGTTTTGACTGCTAGCATTTTCTTTTGATTATTTCTTAAGTATTTTTTCCTCTCTGCTTATATCACCCATGTGTTCTCATGTGTTGTCTGCATGTTCCCATTAGAGCCCTTAACATGTTAATCATTGCTATTTTAAATTCCCTGCCTGATGCTTTTAAAATCTTTGTCATATTTTAGTCTGGTTCTAGTGATTACTCTGCCTTTGGGACTATGTTTTTTCTCGCCTTTTGTCATGCTTTGTCATTTTTTTGTTGAAAGCCAGGCATATTGTATTATGTACTGGGCACTTTAGGTGAAGATTTATGTTAATTTTGGGGGGAGTTGGGCCCTGGTTAATGCTTGCTGTAGCTATAGGCGTCAGAGGCTTCAAATTCCTCTAGTATCTCTCTTCTTGTTTCTGTCTCTCCTCTTGACTTTGGGCTTCCCTAAGTACTCCTTCTCAGAGGGAATCTGTATGATCCCAGAGACCTCTTATGGGGCTGATAAGGTGGGGAAAGAATATTCAATAATCTTAATTAAATTATAGTTTGTAGTAGGCCCATATCTCTGAGCTATGATCTTCGCAAGTGTTTTTTCAGAATAGTGCTTTTTTTCTCCCTGTGTCCTACACCCTTCCTTGGCTACAGAATTCCTAGTCTATTATTGTCTTGCAGCCCTGACTGACCTCTGTTGACTACGGTCCCTTTCTCCCTCCACCACTTAGATGAGACTGGAAGGCCAGAGGGGGCTGGAGCAGGAGGAATGCCCTTCCCCTAGCTGAGATAAGGGGGCTGAAGATCTTTTCCTCTGGAAATTAGGCCTTTGTTATGGGGAAGGCTCTGAAAGTATTTCACCGTGATTACTCTTTCCCTTCCCCTGCCAAAGCCAGCAGAGGATCTTTCTTGGATCTTCGCCATGAGATCCTGGTGGGGTTCCTGGAGTTAGAGCTCATGAAAGTTTGGGGGGATCTGTAAGACTGCTGAAGCCCCCAGTGAGTTTCTCACCCCCACTCTGGTGTACAGCCAGTCTTCATCAGTTTATCACAGTTACCATTAAGCATTCTTACCAGTTTATGGTTCTCGTAGCTCCAGATAAGCAGAGCTTGGCTGTGACTCTCCGCATGTCCCTGTTTCTCTATGTATTGGAGTGACCATTTGCCCTCGAACTTCAGGTCTCTGATGGTTCCAAGAAAAGCCATTGATCTTTAGATTGTTCAGCTTTTTTTGTTGTTGTTGTTATATGGACAAGAGTGTCTATTTACAGTCTCTTTATATGTTGAAGCTAAAACCAGAAATCTAAATTGAGAATAAAAATAGTTTGTGTTGTTGATCTAAAAGGATGAAGTTCAGCCAAAATTAACATAGAAGGTTTATTTGAGCCAAGGGTGAGAACTATAGCCTGAGACACAATTCCAGCTTGCCTTGGATAGGCTCAAGGTTTTAAAGAAGAAAGAACTAATCAGGAGAAGGGGGACAATTGCAAAAAGTGTAGTCAATGCACAGGTAGTGGTGGTCTTGACTGTGA